AATTTGACTTCCCTTACACAGCAATTCACCAGGGTGGGGGTTATCAATGACAATAAACTTTGTTGCACAACAAATGTACAGGATTGCTGTCTAACAAACATACTATGGGATTTATCTACCTTTATAAGTTACAAAGACTATGTAGTATGCGACACACTCATTGTTCAGGTATTTTGGTCCGTCACTATGGTGACGAGGAACAACATAGGACACTGGCAGAACTCAGGTGATGGCTATTTAAATATTGATACTGCTGACAATAGTCGGCCTTGCTCCGGAATAATAAGAGCGTGTTTTCAGGCGAGTAACACAGGTGTGACGAGAATATCTCGATGTTTATTACTGTAATTCCTGATTTTGCCCCGGTGAATATGTTCGTTATGTCTGTTCGTCACTTCTGTACGGCGAACTTTATCATTATCGTTAACAAAAAAAATCCGTCTTTCTTTTCTCTGCAGCTGACCTGTTATTTCAAAGTTTATTATCTGCAAATTTTAAAATGCCTGCCTTGTTTTGTTCACCCTATCGCTTTAAATGTGGAGTCTGTGGAGGATATTGTCATAAAATTCACTTGCTGTTGTCGATATGTGACTCCTTTATGTTCCAACAATTCATGTGGCGATCCTGTGAAAACATTGCGACAACTGAAGACAGCTTTTACACTGAGGAACATTACCCAAACACTCAAAACAAATTGTCTGATAATTATGACAGTATTAAGCTTGCATTCCACAGTAAAGTATATAAGTATTATGTAGCATAAGACTACTAGTAGTATACTTGTTTGTTATTCTGTTAGTAATAGCTTATAGAATAAAGTGAAATGTATGGAGATCATTTTAGTAGACCCCCTCCCCAGTTCAGTTCCTTTACGAGAACACTAAAATCGGAAGCATGGGACAAATTGTCATGTAGAACAGTCCAACTGGGCCAAGGTCAACACTGTAAGATAAATTGAAATTGGATGCATAGTTGTTCATAGTTTTATTCTTTTAGGATGTTTGAGTCTTACCTGCAAGTACAGCATTTAACACATTTGTAGGGTATGTACATTGTAAATCTATTAATAGTGTTATAATTCGTGACTGTAAATAACAGCATTCTTCAGAAATGAGTTTCATATCCTTGCATACAGGCTAAAGTAACTGTAATGCTTTACTGCGTTATTTATGCACAGTATACGATATCAAAGAAATAGCAAAAATCAATACTGGGATGAGGTATGTATGAACATTAAAATGAAACATGCCTCTAATGATATATCTCTCTGTCTTTGTTACCTTATTTATGTTCAAGATCTGTTCTTAGGAGGCTTTTACAAAAAAATCATATTTTCATTGCCACAAGTTACATAATTTCTATATCTGAGCAGACTGAGCAAAAAAGAGACATAAATGCTTTCCTATCATCAGACATACTGCCATAAAAAATAATAATGCAATTATTTGGCCAAGATGCAGCCACTTTCTCAATGCGACAATGTTCGAACTGCTAATTGTTATGTTATAATAGGTTGAATGGATAATTTTGATGGACAGTAAGGAGTGGTCCAGACATACTGCCACGTTTGTTTTTTGTTAGTCTAAATTAGTTGGTGGGCACAAAAATAACGTCACGCAACAATGTCGATTTTCAGAGTTTCCGTGCGTTTACTCAAAACATGTCTCATTCGATTCAGAAAAAACTGTATTATGAAATGCTTTCGCATGAGGGGCAAATAAACAAATATTTTATCAAGTTGTCAGAAAAACCCGTCCGCAAAGAAAACGGATGAGAAAGGCTACGTAGCTCAATAAGATTGTGGGGTCGTGTGGCGTAGCGGTCGACTCGGAACCAAGAGTTCCGGGTTCGAACCCCACCTTGTCATCACCTTGCTTGGGAAAGGAATTTTACACGACTTTACTCACTACACTCAAGTATAAATATGTACCCAGCTTTGCTTAGGGACGTCCATCGGATAGGGTGTTAAATGGAGGTCCCGTGTTTGGGGAGAGCCACACCCCACGCACGTTTTATTAAAAAACCCACCGCACTTATCGAAAAGAGTTGGGGACCTTCCCGGTGTGAGTGGCTTAAACCTTGCAATCCGGTCTTACGCAGCTTGTACTTACATATACAAAACTGGTGTGTTACGCCCAAAAGCAGTTTGCCGAATATGTGGAACAAACAAAGCAAGACATTTTCTACATAATTTGTGCGTGTCACAAAACCACAACTATGTTAAAGGGACAAGGAATTGGTATGCACCCAAGTCGACAAAAACTGATGGATGACTCTGTTTTGGCTTGTCTGCGACCCACTTGGTCAGTAATCAGGAGCTGTAAGCATTCACAAAACCTTCAACCTTATCAACATGCCTCGAGTTCTGTGACACACTGCTAGTGATAAAAAACATGCCTATCTTATAAAACAACAACTTCATGGCATTCAAGTGTAAACTAATCTGCTTTTATCCCACTTTTGTTATGTATCTTGATAAGTTTGTGTACAAATCCACATGTAATTATATCCCCTACCTGTGGTAAACATCAGCCCGCAGATGATCGTAGCCGTGAAAAGTCGTGCCGCCATCACGCCGCGTCCGGGCGGGCGGACGGTCTGTTGGTGTCCGCTGATCGTGATGAGGAGACCGTCCCGTCTGATGTTACAGAAATGTAGAGAGGCGTACTGTACACAGTTGGTCTTCTTGCAAGTTTAGTCACTTGAACAGAAATTTTAAGAGTCAAATTGTTCCGAAAACGAAGGCCAAAAAGAGCACAGGAAACTGCCCCGACTTGGTCATAGTGATATAAATGCACAATGTTTTCCAAATATGCGGTACAATGGCATAGCAACATCAAAAGTCTCGTAATTATGTTCACCATTAATGTGATTGCTTATTTTGTTCGCTTATCCCTATCTTATGTTATCAAATTAAAATATTAATAAATAATGATTTGTCATACAACCCGCTCACCCACTGGAACTCAACATTGAGTACCGTAAAAGCAAGTAGTGCTTGCTTTAGTTTTTATATTTGCATATTGCATACCAATAATCATTGGGCGACTTGGTGATGGCAGGTGCAGAGAAAAGCGGGTAATGATAAGTTTGAGAAACAGTAGTGACGAACATACATAACGAACATATTTACTGTGACAAAAATCGATCAGGAATTACAGTAATCAACATCGAGGTATTCTCGTCACACCTGTGTTACTCGCCAGAAAACACGCTCTTATTATTCCGGAGCAAGGCTGACTATTGTCAACAGTACGCAATGTCATTAATATTAAAAAAAAGCCCATCACCTAAGTTCTGTCAGTGTCCTATGTTGTTCCTCGTCACCATAGTGATAGACCAAAAAACATGACCTGAACGAGGTGGAAATTTCAAACATTACTTACCCGTTTCTTCCCGTCGCTCGGTTCTATCTCCCACCGTGAGACCACCATCTGTATCCGTCAAATATTTAGTACTTTGTCTTTGTTCTCGTCAGAATCCCGTCAACTCCGTTCAGAGCCGTACATTGTTCGCTAGTATTTTCCAAATTCGTACGATATTTATCGGGAGGAGGGATCGTGCGTGAGAGGGCCCACCATTTTCCCTGACCCTCCCGCTTGGTCCAGAAAATTTTCCCTGACCCTCCCCCTGGCTTGAAAATTTTCCCCTGACCCTCCCCCGGCACTGACATTGAAAATAATAAAAACGACGGTTGAAGGGACAACAGAAAGTATTTTTTATTGTCATTACAGCACGCGATTTGTGTACCGTGGTACCGTGGTACAAGTGTCCGTGTTTTGACCCATGGAAAAACTAGAGATTTACACGGTAGGCCTTGCAGAGGAAAAGAACGTTTTTAAACAGGATTTTTACCCTATAAATTTTGGGCTCTACAACTTTTGCCATTCTTCTAAGTTCCTGAGCGTTCCCGCCAGCCCCGTCTCATGAGTGCGTCCAAATATTTTTGGCCAAGGGGGGGGGGGTTGTCTAGTGCCGAAGGCGCTCGTGCTCGCAATCTGAGGGTCCCGGAATTTTTTTTTATATTTAAACGTTAAATAGCGCAATTTTCCTTATTTTGAGAGTCAGGATGAGAGTGGTTGTCGGCCTCTCCTTTTACCGCCGCTGTCGTATTATCGGTGCGACCGCCCTCTCCCCTAAACTTGTTTACTTCTCGTATACGTATTCTAGTCCAATGTTTTCAGCTACTTGGCTACCGGCTAAGTTTGGGAGGCCTTACATTAATAATAATAAACCTTTGTTAAAACCTATTTTGTTCCTGCTGATTATTTTCATGTTCATTTGTTTGCGTTTGTTCTCGAAACTAACATAAACAGTGGTAATTTTCCAGGTTCCCCTTGAACGTTACACAGAGTCGGAATACTAAGTAAACATGTATCGAGTGACCAGTCACATACAATTATTACAAACAGTGCAGTTTATTTACGAACAAAATCTCCCATGCTACTTGCACACAAGTACCAGGTATAATTGAGTGGCAAAACTGACGAATTTCTAGGTGGAAGATACGGCAGTTACCGACATGCTGTATGACTTCCGTATGACTTCAAGGCCGACGCAAGCGTACTAGTAATTGTGCGCCTTCCGCCGCGCCGGTGCCGAGCGGACACTATTTCTTTTAAATTTTGATAACAGGTATCATTTTGTAGTCGATTGTACGTTATATAGTAATGAGAGAGATTCCCCACATTGTTATATAGTAGAAATAGATAAGTTCCCCAGCTTAGGGCATTTAAATGAATTAGAAAAATTCATATTTCTTATAAAACTTGATAAACCATGCATTTTTAGTTCTATATATGCTCGTACATCTATAACTGCGTTAAGAAGCGAGAAGAAGTTGAACATCTAAATAGTAGATCACATTAGTATGTATAGTTTAAGTGTCATTGCTGCATCCTTTTCCTTTTTCTATTCATGAGCTGTACTTAGCTTGTTAGAGAACAAATGTACAATAAAGGTCTTTCATTCATTAACCCGAGTACAAATATGATGTAACACTAATAGTAAGCGCTGTCACGACACCTCGCCATTTCCTGGTGGCGGCGAACTGAACAGGTGAGTCTACCTGTGCTCTCATCTCCGCTTTTTTACTTCGTATGACACCACAAAGAGCCACTCAAAACTTGTGTGATATCATTTACGTTGTTATTAGGTAAATTTTAGGACAATATGTCTAGTATTTGTCGTCTCCTCATTGAAATCTCGATTCTTTATTTTTTTTATATAGATACCTGTTAATTACAGATCTTATCCATTCAGTCACAGACGAAAGTTTTTGGCTGCCTAAAAAATTAAACGTCTAACCGATTTAAAAATATATCCAGTTGTTGCTTGAATATACTGTTATATCGTTACGTTGTGTAAGGGCATGGGTATGTTAATTACTCTTTTTTCTTTAGCTATAGAACAGAGCAAACTGCTTTCTTAAAATATTTTTTTCAACAGTTGGTGTGTTGTGAAAATGTTAGCAAGTCGCTTTATCCAGGTTGTATCCAGGATCGTGCTTTATCTAGATCAATTTTTTCTATCCAGAACCTGGGAGCATGTGGAATGAACATTGTTTTTTTGTTTATTTCCCACTGTATGATTACAAAATTCAGTGTTCTCAGCGTCTGAGTTTGACCATCTTGTGTTTGTGTTTGTTAATCTGCTTATTCTAAGGTTCAAATAAGCCTATACAATCATGAATACGTTCCTAGCTAGTCTTGTTAAATTTGTCAGTACCGATCTTTGAGTACAGAAGAACCAAACTTAACAAACGCTCCACGATATACTCTTCTATGCAGAGGAAATCTAAATAGTTAAACATTAACCCAGTCGGCCAGGTAAGGCAACACAACACCTGAGCTACACAAAGAGAGCTTCAGACTGGCTTGTCCGCCGGGGCTTAAAAAAACACGGCGTTATTGACACACGGCCCTGCGGTGTACGTAAGGGGGTTCCCCTGGCGGGTACCTGGGACTCATTAGGCTAAAAATAAGTGTTTTGTACTTGTACCCTGTGTAGCCCGTATAACCTCCCCTCGGCATAACACACCAGCTTCTGTATCTGTATAGCCGGTATAACAGCCCTTCGGCGTAACACACCAGCTTATGTGTCTGTGTAGCCGGTATAACCGCCCTTCGGCGTAACACACCAGCTTCTGTATCTGTATAGCCGATATAACCGCCCTTCGGTGTAATTGCACCAGGTTCTGTATCTGTATAGTTAGTACAACCACCCTTTGGCGTAACACACCAGCCTATTATGTATATGTATCTGTATAACCGCAGAAGCTGTAGTACTACGAGGAACGACCTGTCCCACCTAAACTTTGCACGCCCAATTCCAGCTTCTTCACACCTGCTTCAGCTGTTCTGAAGATGAACCTGAACTTGACCGTCCCTGTCGTTCTGTTTCTCCTGCTCTGTCTGAACGCCTTCCGTCCGGCAAAGAGTGGTGAGTACAGGTGAACAGGTGCTGATACTGTTTGATGCAAATTCGTGCTGAAATGTCATCTTAACAACGCACATTAAAGAGTAGTGGGTATAAAATAAAATCTACTGTAAAATATAACATCGTATCTATTATTGCTGTAAGATTTGACTTCTTCTTATCGCACGTTTTGCGTAAGTACGGTAATATGATAGAACTGTGTGATTGGCTTCAGCATGTACACGCCAGATCCTCGGACGGCGAGGCCAAATATGGAGCATAAAGGATGTGACGTCAGACCACTGCGAGTGGGATATCTGGACTTCTCCATACGATATTATCTTGGTGAGCGTTTGATTCAGCCTTTTTGTTTTCACCGGTATGTATCAGGTTATCATTCAAAATCTGATTCATGAATACCAGCTTAGATTCCCGATTCGTTTTAACACATATTATCAATATCATTTTCTAGTAAAAAAATATATCAATCGACTGGATGAACTCCCTGAAGAGACAAGTGTTTCAGACAGCATCAGGGACAGGAGATGAAAGTTGTCACCCAAAACATCTGAATGCTAAAAAAAACATCCAGTTGCTTGTCATTATTTTCATTACGTTTATTACTTGAATGTATAAGAAGGTCCCTTTCCACTCCTTGCGGAGCATAGGGTTGGTGCCCATCTCCTTTTCTATAGCTCTTGGGCCACACAGTTGAGCGAGCACCAAAGCAACGGGCTAGCCCGCTGGTAGTGTTGTGTGTTTGACCTCCCCATACTCTCTGTCATTGATGCTGAGTGCCAGGCAAAGAAAGCAGTATGTAAAAGCTACGATTTTAAGATTCAAAGTCTTTGGTATGACCCGGTCGGGGTTTGAACTCACGACCTTCCGGTTACAAAGCGAGCACTCTACCCAATTGAGCTATTGCACCAGATGCTTTACCTTAATCGGAATATATACTATTGTCTATTCCAGATTAATTTCGACTCCTCCGGTTACCGGCGAGGTTCAGAAAACTGCACCGCCGACGTTCTGAAGTTTCACGACGGAAACTCTCCAACTAGCACAGCACGAAAACAGATATTTAAGCAAACTTTCCGCAATATGTAAAGATGTATTAAAGGTGGATAAATATTTAAGTTGACTTTACGACTTCGTAAAGGTTGCTGAAAGGTAAATTCCGCCTTTCCGTCACCTTTCAGTGGGCTTAAATACGACGTAAATATATAAAGACATTTAAGCAAACTTTCCGCATATGTAAAGAAGTATTAAAGGTCGGAAAATATTTCAGTTGACTTTACGACTTCGTAAAGGCCTCTGAAAGGCAAATGTTCCGTTTCGTAGCTTGTTTTTTAACGTCTAACCATGTTCCAAATGGCAAATAGATAAACGAGTTTATCGCCCAGCCGGCTTCACACTTTCATTTTGCTTTATTTGTGAAGCATGACAAAACTTACATTACTTTTATGTCCTTCGCGTGAACTTACAAAGTATCCATATGCAGACACCCAATGAGGAACGTGTCATGTGATAGGGCGGTACCCAATGGGATACAAGACAGCGAGGTTCAAATCTACCGGACTCAACTCATTTTTATGGCGTCTATTTCGAAGACACGTCGACCCTCCTTCTAATTGAGACATTATGGCTGAAGTTGAGAATCTCATGGAGCGAGGAAAGGCAAGAAAAAATTTTCGACTTCTTTAGAATATGTTGAAATTGGTGGAGGCCCAGTCGCAAAGAATCCGGGGGCTTCTAAGCAGCGGCAACGACAACACGACTCTCGGCCCGGCTCGGCCCGTCTGACAACAGCCAGGAGGACGGAGGAGAAAGCTTTCACAAAACGCCGTATACGAGGGAGCTGATCAAATATATGTTTGGAGATACAAGTAGTCAATTCCTTGTATTGGTGAGCTAAGTTTAGGAATGTATTATTTTGAACCGTTTTCATTATACGTAATCTGCAGCTGGGGAGGGATACGTAATAATGTGACAATATAGTATGAGCTAACATCTTCTTCTAAAACATTTTATTAGGAATCATTGTATTTTGTATGTTTTACTCAATAAATTGTTCTCAGATCATATCTGTTTCTATCATCATATTCACATATACCGACGTAAGTTAAGGTTATGCACAGCCGATCCAAATGTTCGGAAAGGCAACTTAAAGCTTAAAATTGTCCGTAAACAGTGATTAAAGGAATAGTTTACAAAGCCTTTACGGACATAAAAGGTGCGTAAAGGCACTGTTAAAGTGCAAATACGTATCTTTCCAGTACTACGGAAAGGGCACGTAAAGACAATGTTTACGAGGGACTTAAAGGCAGCTGAAAGACCTCTTAAATTTTAAGTAAACGCATGCTTTCCGACCAAAAAAGGTCCGTAAACGGTACTTAAAGGAATAATTTACAAAGCCTTTACGGACATAAAAGGTGCGTAAAGGCACCGCTAAAGTAGTGCAAATACGTATCTTTAAGTACTACGGAAAGGGCACGTAAAGACAATGTTTACGTACACGGAAAGGTGCCGGAAAGGTGCGTAAAGATGGAAATTACGCCGCCTTTAAGCACGATTTAAGCATGCTTAAATATGGTTTTTCGTGCCGTGTAGCAGAACTATCGACACGTTCTGTGGAGACCAGACTCGTGAGTTTTATAATGTTTTAGTAAAAAGATCCCACGAAAGAAAGAAAAAAATGTAGTCAACAACTATATGTTTAAAGTTAAAACTTTTGATCCAACACAAGAAATTCTCTCACCTAGAGCTTTCGACCAGTAAGTCTGGCCTTCCTTCTAGACTGACCCAGACTGGTCGAAAGCTGTAGGTGAGAGATTTTCTTGTGTTGGATCAAATGTTTTAACTTTAAACATGTAACTACCAACACAGATCAACTTTCATGATAGTAGTCAACAACTAGTATACAGTGTTGCATTGTAATTGCTAAGTTGCATGTCTGTACGAAATTTCATCATCATTGCTTCAACTGTCATGGCAAAGAGGCTAAACATTGTCATTTTAGTAAAAAAAAATACGCCAGAAAATTTCTCCTTATTGCTTTCCAGATTTGCTTAGAAGACATTTTATTACATGTGTGCCAAATTTTCTGCTTTTAGACAAAAGTAAAAAAAAAAACTTGTAATTTATCTATCTATCTACATATATCTATCTATTACGTATGTACAATAATGTACTTAGCGGTTTCAATTGCAAATGGCGTTATAGATGCCAATTCTAACATTGCAGCAGCGACGGGTTTTGAAGACGTAAGGAGTTTGTTAGACCTGTCCACGGCGAGTACCGGCCCTCAGATGTACGTCGTCTACCACCGCAACCCTCTGTCTCAGCACAGATCCGAGTTTAAACTTACGTTCACTACAAGACACAATAGTGAGTACAACTCATCTTCGTCATTAGTACTGTTCTTTGGAAATTTGATTCACTGGAATTTTCTTGAATATAAAATTTCCCTAACGCCCGTCTGTGTCCCTTCTCCACAGACGATGTCCCAGAGTTCAACGAGGAAACTTTCGTCCCACAAACGGCACCGGTTTTTAACTACACCACAGCTGGGGTAATGGAACATATCTAGTGGTTAGAAAAAAAAGACTCCTGTTATAATTGTAGCTCATCAGGACTAGTGAAAGGTTCGTTGCGTGTAACCTTCATGTGTTAAAGTTTCAAATTTGGTAACAATCACTTGTTATGTCATTACGTTTTTCAGGATTTTGTGCAAGTTGAGCTGGAACACCTTTTAGACGCAGATCCGTTTTACTACCCATACGGCTACACAACCTACAAAAGGACAGGTGGTAAGTATGTGTGTGTGTGTGTGTGTGTGTGTGTTTGTGTGTGTTTGTGTGTGTGTGCGTGTGTCTCGGTGTGTGTTTTTGTGTATGTTTGTTTGTGTGTGTGTGTTTGTGTGTGTGTGTGTAAGTGTGTATTTGCGTGTTTGAGTGCGTGCGCGCGTGTATGTGCATGTGTGTGTGCGAGCGAGCGTGTTTATGCGTGTGCGCATGTGCGCGCGTGTATGTGTGTTTGTGTGCGCTCGTGTGTGTGCGCTCGTGTGTGTGTGTGCGTGTGTTTGTGTGCGTGTGTGCGCTCGTGTGTATGTGTGTGCGTGTGTGTGTGTGCATGTGCGCGCGTGTGTATGTGTGTGTGTGCGTGAGTGAGTGCAGTGCACGCGTTCGATGGAGTGTTCAGTCGTCACTGATGTTATTTCCACCCATGTGACCCGATGTGTGTCCGACCATTTTGTGATGGGTGAAGTCTGCCATGTGCATATTGTTATGTCGTCTTTGTCTTATCACGTAGATTCCCTGCAGCTGTATGTCACCATTCAAGATTACGTCCTTACGGCTTCCATCCTGGCTTCAAACTTCGACTACACCTGTTGGTACACATCTGACAACTCTCCTGCGTCTGTTTTGCTGACCGTGCCGGCTGAGTATGACAGGTCAGGTTCTCATGTATTACTTGTGTGTGCGTGTATGCGTGAGTAGGTGCGTGCGTGTGTGTGTGTGTGCGTGTGTGCGTATATGTGAGTGCGTTTGTGTATCTGTATGTGTATGTTCGTGTGTGTGAGTGGGTGGGTGCGTGAGAAAGTGTATGTATATATGATTGCGTGCGTGTATACGTGCGTGTGTGATTGGTTTATTTGCGAGTTCTATGTCAAAACTTTTTAGAAAGTTATAAAAGTTGAGTAAAGAGATTCCTTTTACCAACCAAGTCTTTTATTCAGTTGACGTTTTGGTGACCGTCCTGAGGGCAATTCTGACTTATTTACGTTGCACTGCAGAAGAGGTGTCGTATTTACACACACACACACACACACACACACACACACACACACACACACACACACACACACACACACACAAACAAACAAAGCAGTTACAGAGAACTGAGACATACGGTAGAAAGAGTCTCTTTACTCAGTGACCTACCGACCTGATGAAACTATGCACGGAAGTAATAAAAGTTATACGCGGAATGCTATCTACATTCATGTATATCATGTAAACAGAACATATAATCTTCTGTTTGTACCCGTGCAGCAACTGGACTGGCCATGGGTCCCGGTCAGAAGTCATGACGCACTCAATTTTGAAAAAACTGAAGGAGTCATTATATACAACATTTCTGGCGAGAAGGTAAAGAAACTGTGAAAACACATAGAATCAGAAGCACTTCCAGAATATTTCGCGCTACTGAAATTTCTATTATATACATACATACAGATAGATAAAAAGAAAACATTAGTCTCCAAATGACCGTTATAAAGTTAGGCTACTTGACATTGTTTTTGTATATGGTTTACTTTAGGCGATATTACCGCAAATACTGTAAGAAACGCAGCATTACATACTTTGATGATAGACATACAAATAGATATGCACTAAGTTAACACAAATGGACATACATACACGCAACATTTTGATGTTAAAACTGTTGTTAATAGCTGCAGACTGGAGAGGAGATCACCGTGCAGTGTGAAATATTCATTGGGACGCTGACGACAAAAGTCCGAGTGACAGGTAAGAGTCCACCTAGCGACTTAAAAGTGAATTGCATGTGTGTAGTCTCCATCAGTCACTCTGGGTGTAGAATTTAGTCAAATGTGGTAAACACTCGACAGAGGAGCAGGTCATATACGATTATTCATTTATTACCTGTTAACACGATAACTCGAGAAGGCTTAATTGGATTGACTTGATATTTAGTAGGTACATAGGCTACATAGGTCAAAATTAATCTGACCTGGAAATGATTAGATTTTGGGCCCCTGGCAACTTCTTATGGTACTGCAGCTAAATTTCTGGTTTTGATTTCTCATGACCAGGACATTCTAGGGTCACGAAATTTAAACGATAGATAACTCTTGTGCAGGGAAAGAAATGACGTAAGTTTGGGCCCCCTAGCAGATTACTGGAACTACAGGGGCGTTTCCTTCATAATATTCAAAAGTGGATAACTCCAGAACCCGTTGACGGATCGTCGTGATTTTTTATGTGTACATAGCTTAAGTAATGCTTGACAAAATTTTGTGACAATTATGCAAATATTCACGTTATTTGCATCATTTCTAAAGAAATTTTATGAATCAGTTGCATTCCATGATAGGACCAAAGAAGCTTGTGGCATATATAATTGAGAACGAGAGAAACACATCCATATATTATATAAATCAAGACTTAATTTGCATGATTAATAAGAAAATGTTGTAATTCAGCAACGGTAACTGCCTGGAATCTCATACTCAGGGTATTTGAAAGTTTAGTAAAGGTGAACATGATTAAACATACGTTAATCAAATAATAATCTCATTTGCTTAATTTATGAGGAAATGCTAGAATGGCATTCTTTGTTAATATGAGACTGTCTTTTGTTGGGGAATATGATCAACAGATATTAGTAATGCAGATTACGATCCTATTTGCATAATCAGGGGGAATGATCTGCCCGTCATAAACATTAAGTTAACATTATTTGGCGAAGGTATGAGATCCTGGAACTCTAGTTTTATCATAAAACGACTGGGTGGCCCATTCAGCTAATAGATGCTGCTTTTCAATGGGGCCCAGCAACATAAAAAAATATAATAGAGTCTAAGATATTCAGAACTTAATATTTACATGTTATTAGGCAGCATGAATGAAAGATATCACAGCCATTTCTGTTTTTAGCCTGCCCCATCGGGCGGTTCGGGCGGTTCTGTGCGGAGCGCTGCCAGTGTTATAACGGAGCAGCATGTCACAGCTTCAACGGCGCGTGCAGGTGCGCCCCTGGCTGGACTGGAAGGAACTGCACCACAGGTAACGTTGGAAACTAGGGGGAAACTTCAGCCAAAAACATTTTTTTAAAGAATCCATATACATATCGCACATCGTTGATTTTTTGCAACAACTTTCCGTTCGTTTCCATGAGTTTGGTATCAGTCTTACCTGTAAGTATATGTATTTGGTATATGTCATCTTATTTTAACATTTTCTTTTACCTTAGAAAACCCAGAAGTGCTCATCAGTCCTCCAGCCAGAGAACTAACAGACTTGCGGATCGGACAGGAACTGCAGCTCACGTGCACGGCTTACAAACTTGACGTCACTGACATCAAGTGGATCTTCAAGAGTGGGATTTCTGTCGACCAGCTAAATGTTACAAACAGCAAGAAGTAAGGTTTTTCTCTTGAAATAGTAATAACGATAATCTTAAGCTTATTGCGGCGTCATGTGATAGAAAACTGATAGTATACTAGCTGTTGGCGCTTGCTGTAAAAAGTCCAGGAATTTGACTCACTGAGTTCCTCCCTGTGACTCGAGCCTTCGTCAGGTAGAATGACACCGTTGATTCATTACTTACGTCACGTTTTCAGTGCACAGAAACTAAGAAATGAGTTTACTCTGAGAGAATCAACGATTTGCTTCCCAGCCATCCACATTTCTATATACCTCAAATCTTTCTCCTCCCCCTCCACAGCACTTCTGTTCTGAACATCAACTCCCTGGCGCCTGTGCATGAGGGTCACGTGACCTGTGAGGGTCTTACCTCCAGCGGAGAAACGTACACTGACGTGGTGGACATACGGATAGGTATGGACACTTATACTGGATATATGCTTTATAATGTAGCTTTAATAAACTTAAGGTAATTTTGTACAATAACAATGACCAATACGTGGCCCGAGCACTTTGTTGGGAACACACACGCTTACACACTCACTATGTACATATATGTATACATATTACCAATCAGAATATTATCTTGACATATTCCAGTGTGTGAGGAGGATTATTTGGGCCCGTTGTGTGACCGAGTCTGCAACTGTACCGAAAAGGACATCTGTGACCGGTTCCAGGGCTGCGTTTGTCAGGGGAATGATTGCCCGGGTGAGATACTTTTACCACCTATCTCTGAAAACGTATTCCTCTTCAGCATTAAACAAAACAACTATCCATTACCTTTATCAAACTCCAATAATCAGACTCCTAGACCCTATTTTTAACCTCCGGCTTCACGATGCTGCCTAACCCCATAACTAGAATGCGTTTGGCTCGAAACCGTCACTTAACCTTAATAAGGTTCTTCTTTTTTAAACTAGTGGGGCAGATAACTGAAATAATCTTTCACTTTGTGATACAAGCACCAAACTTGGTACAAATAGTCATGAGACATTACTCTTTTGATTTGACTTTTGGCGCCCCCTAGCGGCGCTTTTTGGTACTGCATTGGTACTCTAGCTGCTTGCGTTGGACCTGCAAAGGCGTTTTTTGCCGGTGCAAAAATTTGCTTCAAGGGCGCTTTTTTTGCTTCGGAAGGTCGGCTGCAGTACCAAAAAGCGCCCTTGGAGCAAATTTTTGCACCTGCGAAAAACGCCCCTACAGTTCCAACGCAAGCAGCTAGAGACACCAAATTCACGTCACTTCTTCCTTACTTTAACAGCTTTATACCACATAAAAATCATGACTGTAGCATGTTTAGAACAGGAGAAACAAAGCCCGGAAGGTTGGCTGCAGTACCAAAAAGCGCCGCTAGGGGGCTCCAAAAGTCAAATCAAGTGGCCCGCGTACTTTTTTCAAAAGAGTAATGTCTCATGAGTATTTGTACCAAGTTTGGTGCTTGTATCACAAAGTGAAAGATTCCTCCAAAATTTGATGTTATCTGCCCCACTAAACCCTCCAGACTCTCGGAACCACCTTCTGACTAAGCATGCTAAAATAAAGTATCATTTTTGTTCTACATCCAGACTCCCTGCTCTTGATCATCAGTCTGTCAGCAGGCGGGCTGATACTCCTTCTACTACTCGGCGCCATTATTCTGCTCTACAGGCAAAATAACAGGCTGCGGGTCGGCAACATCGACGATCCGGAAGTTTTCCAGCTCCGACAGGACCTCAAGGTACGTCATGGTTACGTCAGACCGAAGGCCATTTCGTTTTTACCATGACTTTAGCCTTAACACTGCTTTTGAAGGGGGTCTCTGGAGCAAAAAGTAGGGTCCAACTATTTAGGGAAGTGAGTCCACCGTTAGAATTTAATTTCCTCCTGGAGAAAATAAATTCAACGGTGGCCAGACTCCCCTGGCCATTCATTGTTCTTAGGCTAAATCTTACAATTTTGGAACCCGCGTTGTTAGTCTGATGAAGACAACAATGGCGTATATAATGGGCTATCTAAAACCACAAATGTTTCTTGCCGGACCTAAATACCCCTGACTGAACCCCCACCTTCTCCCCAGGCCCTGATGCCGCCTGCAGCAGGCTCCTCGTCAGGCAGTATCGACATGGAGCTGCTGAAGGAAAGGGAGATCGACAGAAGCAGGCTGCAGGGCGGAAAGCTCCTGGGAGAGGGCGCTTTTGGACATGTCGTCGAGGCAACGCTCACACAACCCGAGGAAGTCGATGTGGTGGTGACTGTAAAGAAACTCAAAGGTAATTTTTAGGTGTATTGCTGTGCTCATATTTTGCTATTATATAATTGTAGAATAGACGCGTACATGAATATATGATGTAAAACTGATTATGTAAATGTTTATCTAGACGATGATGACCCCCAGGCCAGACAGGCCCTTCTGCGGGAAACCTGCATCATGTTGTTGTGCGGTAACCATGACAACGTCCTCAGGCTGAAAGGCATCTGTTTTAGAGACGGTCAGTTCAGAATCTTTGTGGCTCATGGGTATCTATGTGTGGTTGGTTTATTTTCTTTTGAAATTAACTTTTGCCCTGAATATGTTAGGTCAATACTTCATGCAGGTAAGGCTGTTCTGGCAGTGAGGAAGAAGATTCCATAGTCCATACTGAAATATTTTTTCCAGGCCCGCTCCAACTGGTTCTGGAATATGCCGAACACGGGAGTCTCCTTCACCTGCTGTGGACTTTACGTGCGGAGTCCAAACTCAACAGGACCGTTCTGGTCAAAAAACGGCACATCTTCGAGAACATGATGGTGGAGGTCTGCTGCGGACTGGAGCACCTGGCGACCATGAGGGTAAGGAAATCTTGAGAAACTGTTCCTCAATCTTTCCCTTCCGAATCCCCACCCACTCCGATTTTGTCAGCGAAATCAAGGGATTTTCTTTTTGAGGTTAGATTGTCTTTTCAGGTAATCAAAGCTAAAAGCTGATAAGATTAACATATTTGGTAACTGAATTACTTATCTTTGCCTGTGTGCAGCTGGTTCACCGAGACATCGCGGCCCGGAACATCCTGATCTGTGGGAAGGGAACCGCCAAGATCGCGGACTTCGGGCTGGCCCGGGACATGTACGCTGTGGGGTACCATCGGCAGCACAGGGTAGGTTCTGGGACATGGACGTTGTTGGGTACCATCAGCAGGACAGGGTAGGTTCTGGGACATGGACGTTGTGAGG